AAAGCATCTAGCTGATCAGAGAAGATCTTTCTACACAGTACACACAGTAGATACCGAAAGTGCTTGGATATACCACGATTACCGTCTAAAAATGTTGGAATCTCGAGCTTTTTCAGATGAAAAGGAAAAGGATCAGGAACGCATTAATGCTGTTTTGCGACGAATAGTTTCCAAGGAAAGATATATAGAAAACATTCACCAATGGAACGACATTCGATTCAGAACGTATGACGAACTCATTTTAGAATGCCGCTTTAATGGAAAACCGTGTGGCAAAAGGGATTTTAAACAAGTAATGTTTGGACGCTATGGTAATTGTTTTACGTTCCAAACAAATTCCACCAATGACATGTATCGTGTAAGTGAAACTGGGCCAGATTTTGGTTTGAACCTAATTCTTTTCACAAACAGCTATTCACCTCTAGATGAATTTAGAAATAATGATATATTTAAACGCTTTCCTACTCCAACGACTACTATGGAAGAGGCATCAGTTCTCGCTGAATTCAACAGTGACTTTTCGGCTGCAAGTGATGGAATTAGATTGTCTATTCATGCTCCCGGGACCATGCCTGACCCTGAAAAAGATGGAATTGACTTGTCCATGGGGACATTTAGTGCTGTTGGTCTCTCACAGGATGAACGTACTTTGTTGGGACCCCCACATGGACATTGCACAAATGAAAAATTCAACAAACACTCAACCTACACGTATACTGAGAACATGTGCCTCAAGCAATGTCAGCAGAGGGAGACAATAAAAAGATGTAAGTGCATAAACCCAAAACTCCCTATCCCATCAGATATCGAGACACCTCACGAAATGGAATACTGCGGATCCATAATGAGAGAACAACGCAAGGAGGACTGGGTATATGCATACTTTAATGTAGAAATGCAGTTTGATTGGAAATTATTCAATGAAAACTTTAGGCTGTATAAGTGTGAAAAGGATGTGGCAGAACAGATTTCTCTAGGTGGTGACAAATGTGGTTGTAAGCGAGAATGTAAAAGCACGGTGTACAGTTACTTACAACACTCAATTCCATGGCCAGGTGAAAAATATTATAAGGGTCTCAAACGAAGGAACTTCATATCATTCATGTGAAACCATCCAGAGGTAGGTCGATTCCTTAACAAGACGTATTGGTCAGTGATTGGAGTAGATGGTCTAAATGTTTGTGAGGTGAGTCAAAACTTGTTTTCAAATTCATCTGAAATTTATCAAACGGCCGTTCAAAATGGTGAAAATCCATATCTCACCTGTCTGGATTACTCCATATATGTCAGGTTCTATAGAACTCCTTATATAAACTGGTATCCATTTATCAACAAATTCATTGAAACAAACTTCTTGAAAGTCAACGTATTTTACAGTTCTCTAAATGTGAACAGGATTGCCGCAGAGCCTAGTTACCCATTCAATAAATGGTTATCTGATTTCGGGGGTATCATCGGGATGAATATGGGTATGTCACTTGTATCTCTTGTAGAATTGGGATACCTAATGGCATCCATTGTCTTCGTTCTTTACTGCAAACGTAAGAGGGACAAGTAGACACTACTTAAATAGTTGATATTTCTTGATCAGACACAGGGGCATATTTAGAGGTTATGTCACTATGACGTGAAATATGCCTGAGTTCTCCCAATATAGGCCGACCTTGGGAGGCTCTATATTTGGGCAAGAACGAAGGCATATTTCACGTCATAGTGACATAACCTCTAAATATGTCGTAAACAGCTTTGCTAAAAGAACAAGTGCAGCATGGTTAACACAATTGTACCTGATCCGAGAGACAAGGTCTACAAACAAACGTTAGTATAAAAACAATGTATACATTTATTATATCACTGTCATATTCCTCACCCTCTGATTGGTTCATGTCCTACACGTGACTTAAAATAACGAGCGATATTCAACGGAAGTCACGTGACTTAATTTTCAAAAACTTCTTTCAATTTTGTTTGCAAACATATCTGCCTATAAAATATGACATCATAAATCTAGCCAATACCCTAGTTTCCTTGGCTCATAAATAGAGGTCAGGATTTATTGGAAAGGTCTATTGTTTTGTTTTTCAATGTACTTTGAATGTCAAAATATTTAGGAGTGGTACTTGTATTGTTAGGCATCATTTGTTTGAAGATATTTATATTTATTCGTTTCTGTTGCTTATCCAGTACATCTTTCTCACATTTGATACCTGCATCTTATTTTTAATTAGAAAATACCTCACATCCATTGTCGATTTGAAAGGCCTACGACAGTGTCGACTTCGATTATTTAGAACATGTGTTAAAAAATTTTAATTTCGGGGGTACTAATTATCATATTAGATGGGTAAAATTATTCTATACAGAGATAAAAAGTTGTGTTTTGAACAATAATAGATCAAATTGGTGGTTCTATATTAATAGATAATGTATGCAGGGTGACCCCATGAGTTGTTTGACATTTAGTTTAGTACTAGGAGTCTTGTCAATTAAAATTAGACAAGGTCATGCTATTAAAAGGATCTATGTGGGAAACAAAGAGCATAGCATACATGTATAACGTCATAGAACATATATTTTTAAATCTTGAAAAAGACTTGGGGATACAAGTCCAAAGCTTTGATCTAATAAAAGATAAAGTTGTTTTAGTTTTAGTATATATATAAACCAGAGAGATGAACTTACATAGAACTATTGTTATATAACATTATGTAATTTATGATAAAATTACGTCATCATATTATATAGGCAACAACGAACCTACTTAGTTTTGTTACTCTTACTTTTGCCTATCAAGAGCGCAAGTACCCAGAACACTACAATGATTGTTCACAGAGCTGTCCTCGAGACATGTTAGTTCTGCGTGGTGTGTTTTATTATCATATACCACCATAACATGGGCTCAGATCAATAGTTTGTAATATGCTCAATCCAAGCTCCTGCACACATCCTAATGTCCCTGTTCATGTTGTCATAAGGTTTCTCCTGATCTCTGTTTTAATATTCTTTAGCTTATCAATTGTTTTTGGGATTGTTTGCATAGATCCTGCCTTAAAGTATCTCTGACAAAAAAAACGGTATTGGGGACATGTCTTGAAAATGTTAAGGTCAGGTGTGATCCATACAAAAGGAGATGAGTCTGTCTTCGGGGAAGTCATTTTCACACCATTATCACCATTATGACCTAACTTTCACCAGTCAATTACTCTACTTCACATTTTTGATGCTGATGCTCAGAAGACTAAACCAAAAAGTGCATTTTCTATTCGTTGAAAGTCATTACAAACTTAAATGTGTAATTAACTTTAGTGATTTAGTACCAAAGAGTATGAATTGATCACATTACAAAAAATTCCTTTCAAGATGAAACTATATGAACCATTCCAACTTCCAAAATGTTTATCTCAGGAAAGAAAGATAGAAAGGGGTTTAAATAGACATAGAGTTGATTTATTCCTAAATGCTCACTTCTTTGCTCACAACTTTAATTTCATCTCATCACCAGCTTGTTCATGTGGAAATAAAATGGAAACTCGTCTTTCTCGACTACACTCTATACAACCACCAACGGGACATACTTTTTGCAGAGCTTGCAAAATCAAATGAGTCGAATTGCTTTAAGCATGAATATTGCAAATAAGGTTAAATTGCGTCTGTTCAGGAATTCCGATAAAATGAATTATAAAACAAATGATCTCGTGTCACATGCAGTTGCAAATTTTATGGAATCATCAAGCAAGAGGATGATCTAACTTTTTAAACATATTTTTGTAATACCTCTTTCCATTGCATATTGTCACCTTCAAGTCAACTTTATCATTTCATCCTTCATATTCATCCACTTTTCTCAATCACGTTTATCTATTTGTCTTTTACACTTATTTCAAAATCAAAGTTTTGCCTCATATGTACTTGTAATTTCTTTATAGGTGGATATGTCTGTAATGCCTCAGAGCGATTGACATTCTTACATTGTGTGAATTATTTTGTAAATTATTTATTTAATATGCAATAAATACTAGAAAAACGACCTATAGTGTTGGACTGTACTGCATAAAGCAAAGATAATCTGAAAAATTCTCAATTTCGATTACTGTTGGCATATGAACATTATCAATAGAATTGAAGATAAAGTCACAGGATCTCCAAATCTCAAGTGCGTATACCTTTACAGAATAAGTGCACAAGAGGCTTGATAAACTCTTGGAAGCCCCTGGTGCTTTTCACAAAGAAGACATTCGTACTTGGATTCGCCACCATTTGTATCATCTTAGATATTCTATCCTGCATGCGTTACTCGTTTACAATCCAACATGAGTCTACTTGTTGAGACTTCATCAACTTGAGTTCTTCTGAGAAGATGAGGATTTCAGTAAGGGTACGTTGACTTATTATACTATTTTTAGTACGTTTACCTCCAATATATCAGAATTGAATCAAACTTTCAGGGAGTGAGAAACCACATAAAACGCATGCGTAATATAACTTTAAATGACCATTTGTTCGCACACTGCCAGACTGACAACGTAAGTATAGATTTTTTATTGAAATAGCTAGGCACACATGTAGCATACAATTATAAGGCCTATATTATATTCTCTGATCTCATTTATACTACGATTGAAATCAAGCACTCGGGAATTTTAATCCCTTCATAGCATAATTGTGAAACCTCAGAATTTTAATGACTTTTAAAAATGTTGATGAGGTGCTTGTACACTCATGTAATATTGTCAGTCTGTTAAATTTTCGTCATCTTATGTTAAAGTACAATGCGTTATACATTTGATTTATGAATCCCCATAACGTTCTTAATTTTTTTAATTAATATTTCGATTGTGATATTATTCAAATTGTCACATACCACATCTTGCTATATTGGGAATTGCTAAGTAATAGTAAGTGAAACTGGTAATAAAATGGTAAAACATTTTACTCTCAGCAGTATTCATTAGTACTTCCATAATTCACACCAAATGACTAAAGAAATTACGATTTAGTATACTATTTACACTGTATTACGCGCTTATTTATTGCATGTTCGAAAATTGATGACAATTTATATTAATGATGTTCGATTTTAATCTGTTGGGAGGCCAGCTTCTCGTCGTTCCTGTAGCCATAGCGCGCGAAACTCTGGAGGAATACATGCTAGTTTAAGGCACTTTTCACAGAGACATTCTTTCTGCACCATGGTGACAATCCCCGGGAATTGTGGAACCTGGTAAATAGAGGTGCGAAATAGAAAAAATAAATTAGAGTAACTAGCATACTAACACAGGAAAATAAAAATAAAAAATCTTATTGTTAGGTGTCTTTCCATAATACCTTAAAATATATAACAATAAGGTATACATTGAAGCTTTATTCTCAAGCATAATGTATGTTACAAGATGGCAAACATACTAAAAAATAATAACAATATTGTATGAAAAATAATACTCTGAAAGATAATGAAGCATACAGTAAATAAAATTATTTTCCACACATTGCTTGGCGTGATACATTAAATACAGTATCCAAAATAATATTTCAATATTTTACAGCAGTTACTTTTAAATATAGTAAGAATGATTACCGTCATCAATTTCTTGTTTGAAATTAGCAGTCGAGTGAAAAAGTATAAATATTTTCATCATAAAAGGCAAGGAAGTAAAACTTTACGGAATCCTTGCAAGAAACGGTTCTAGATAAATTCTAGAGCTATACCAATGCAAACCAAATCGACACACATAAGAAAGATGATGACAAAGGCATGTGTCTGTGAAACGATGAATCGAAATTACACCGACAATGCGTATTCATACTCTAACTGACCTTTGGAGACCTTTGATTCCAAAACGTGAGGTCACATCCACAACATCGTCGGTTTCTTTTTGGACATCCAACCATGAATATCTGACAGGAACCTTTGTCTCCTTCTTCAAGAAATCCATTTACACACAATGTACCCTCAACTTCAACTATTTGAGTTGTCGTTGTTGGTGGTGGTGTGGTAGTAGTAGTTGTTGTAGTGGTAGTGGTCGTTGTTGACGTTGTCGTCGTCGTTGGTGGCTCAGTTGTTGATTCATCGGGATCTAGTTAGTATGAACGTACATAAATGGCTTCTTAGAAAAGTTATTTTTAAATTATAAAACCAATAAAAATCGCATTGAAAAATTAGTTAGGAGTTTACCTATACAAAATGTCTGCGCAAGAGTCAAGATAACATTTTTCAAGCCTTGGACGTCAGACACACGGAAGAAATTTCTAATATTCGACACCATCTGGAACATCTCGGCTTCACCAGCGTCCTGATTTTTCTCGTTTAGAACACCTACCACGAACACGTTAGCCCTGAAATTGATTATCCCAAATATGAACCCCAACAACAATAACACGTTTAACAACTCATAAAAATAAATCAAGCGGTATATGTAATATGACTTACATCATTACCATAAAATTGTTTGAACTTTTAGAACTTACCCATCCGCTGATAATGCTTGAGCATTTGCGATTGTTTTTGCCCCATTTTTCTTGGGAATTGTTACACCATCAGTGACGACAAGAACAGCGTTGTCAACCTCTGGTCTGTCGCCATTCTCTTCGGTAAAATACTTGGTTCGTACTTCGTCAAGAGCTTTGTGTGTATGTGTTTTACAGCCTTCTTGTGTTACCAGATTGCTTAGATCCATATTTTCAGCATTTGATAGCGCTGTCTGTTTGTCAGTGGAGTCTTTTAGGAAATACTGATGTTGAGTACCTTCGTTAAAGTTCACCTGGCCAAACTGAAAACAAATTAATTGATTTTGGTCAAAATATAAATAATCGTCCTTTTTATCAATTTAATTGTTGTTATTTTACATGTATGTCCGCTTCTACATTAAATGCATACATAATATCACATATGAAAATATTGGAATAAAATACACCCACTGTTTAGGTATGTTATTCTGACGATTGCTAATGGAAACCTGTTGCCAAGGTAGATGTGGCGAACGTCTATGAGCAAAACAGGGCATAAGAAATACAGACTCACTTTAGTCTACGCTCAAATAATATCTAATTCTCCAATTAAGGGTCCTTTTAAAAGAAAATCATCATATATATGTTATCACCCTTCTTTCGCGCGTAAATGAAATTTCAGGACCTTAAGCGATATACCAATATATATACCTTGATACTTCCTAAGAAACAATAACTTCTCCAAACCAAATGCAATTTCACCCAAGTACTATGTGGTGCAGTGTTTTAGTCTTACCTGCGTCTGATCAATTGATGGTCCGATGTCAAAAGAGTTTACCATATCGACGATAAAAGAACGGATTATTTCTCCATCTTCGGGACTTATACTACAGGATGTGTCAAGCACAATCATCACATCTAGACCACATGGTTTGCCATCACCATTCAATACTCCGCCTGTAAAACGCATACCCCTCGGATTGAATACACCCGAGTATATCCAAATAATAAAAGGTAATGATATATGTACAGGGCGCGAAAATAAAGATGTCATTAGAATTAACAATTACAAAGGCCGATTTTCATCATTCTTTTTGAAACATATCTGATTAAATAAATGAATTGACACCAAAACTGAAACATAAATTACTTGTTCACATTTTCTTTTATTGACGTTGAAAAGCACTCACCCTGAGCTCTAACAGTGGTTGCCAGGCTTAGGCCCAGAAGAACGAGCAATGACAACATTCTATACTTTTAGCCTGAAATGTATGTACATAAATCGTTATTATTCTGGCGATACTACATAATAATATACATTCAATCATGCGAAGAAACATGTACAACTAGATCAAGAAACATATGACTTTCTTTTGTATCACGAGAATATATTCATGCATGCGAAGAAATATTGCTTTCCAAGCAATTTATGTTTAATTAAATATAAACGTTAAAGAACGTTGTAGAACCTGCCTCCCGGTGGCACTAAAAGATGGAATTTTCGACTAGATTTCGTAGCTAGAAAAGTAAATGAAAAATAAAAGGCAATTTTTATTAATGATAATATTTCGGAAGCTTAACCCTAATGTATTTTTATCGGACATTGCAAACTCTCGAGGAAGGTGTATTGTTATCTCAAAAGGAGTTCAAAGTAACATGGGGGTTGGTGTACTTTTACTTTTCAATTAAAAAAACAACATATAATGTTTTTGTTTTGTTAGCCAGAAAAAGGTAATAAATGTGATAAAATGCATTTAGGATCTACATTTCTAGGATAAAAAAACGTGGATAAATACTGTTCCTAGATTTGTGATATAGATAATTATTTCGAAAGTCAAATGGAGGAGGGGAGGCAAAGCATAGTCTATGACCACCAAATATACATAAAATATATAATAATTTTGCAAAAACATCCCAACATTCCAAAACACAGATTAACAATTTTGGAAATTGGCTGAGAAAAAAAGGTTTTAGTGCATCTCCGTCAATAATTCTCGTGTGTCGAAAATAAGCATATTTGAGGCAAAAGTTGCAGCGTTGACCATATTTTGCTTCTTATTATAGACTTATGTGATATATTTCTACATAATTCAAATATTTCATAGAATCACATTTGGTTCTATATTTACAGATTTCTGAAAAATGTTTCAAAATAAATAAAGCCATCCAAGATGACACAATTATGCTCTCTCAAAAACTGGCAATCGTAACATTTTCAAATTATTCTGCAATATTTTGATGTATATAAACTCACTATTTTGTAAATTACATGCACATTTAGATGGGAATGACTATAGCGGCGGAAGGGACAAATCTGGCGGGGGGAGGTGAGACAAATAAAATTATTTCTACAAAATCTGACAAACATATGCAGGACCTCCCAAAAGAAACATGGATATATGACGACCAGTTTTTGAAAAATCATTTTTACTTGTTTTTTTACTTATTTGGATCGAAACGTTAGTCGCGCGCTGACAGTTGTTTGAAAGTGTTTTCACTATACTGTGTGGTGTATATATAAAAGGAAAGTAAATAAAACCTGCTCATATTCTTATTTTATGAAAACATAGGGATGGAGCGATTTTTAAGCAATTTCTGAAATAAATGGATAACTATAGATTATTGACAACACAAGTCACTTTACTTGCGCCATTCCTGTTGAGGTTGAAAATGGTTCCGTTCAGGTTGTAAGCAAAATTAAGAAAACAGTTTGAAAATGTAATAAAGACAGAATTCCTCCAAAACTCCAAAATGAAAATTATTTTTTTCGTTATAATTCGACGAACAATAAAAACGTCAGCAGTATTAATATTGTCAAATAGTCTCTTACTTAAATTGCTGTTCTTTTGGTGCTGGCAACGGTTCTGTTATTGCTATGATATACTAGTTTACAAGCCAAGCTATGAGATGACGTACGTCGATTAAAGTGACATTCCTCAAATAAATGGGCAAAAATAAGTAAAATAAATCACAATTTGTCCAACATATGTGTATACGCATTATACGATTGAATGTAATTTAAAAGTAATTATTTCATAAATTACTCGTGTTTACTAGACATACTTCTGCATAAAACGAAACAAATAACAGCTTCCATGACAAGGTGCGTGGATGCTATTAATAAAATATACCGATCAAACTAAGGATAATTTTTTGAATTGCAAAGAATTTTCTCACAATAGATATGGCCTTTCCCACCTAAATGATATGTTTTCCTTAGAAGATGATCCTATGATAATAGAATTATTAATTACTAATTCGAATATTCGAAAAGCATATTTTGGATCCTACCTCGACACATATACCAAAACATCAAACTTACTTTTTAGAGGAGAACCTTGCTTTTTAGTAGATAAAACAAGAGATCTATACATAATTCCAAAGTAAAATGGCGTAAATTGTGGTGACCAATAGTAGGGTAAAAATAGTGAATACCGTGAGTTTTCAACTTTAAAATTTAATTTCAACGTCGTTCCAATTTCAGAATACCTTTTATATTGTAAGAAGGAATAAAAAGGAAACGATATTTCGAAAGTTAGTCTGACAGTTTGAAATTATGTCGAGATGTGGTCCTAAACATGTTTTTCAGTATTGTGATAACTTTGCTCCAAAGAAATGATATTATTGTATTGTAACGAAAAGAAAAATGTTATGATGGACAAAATGTAGTCCTTGTCAAAATATGACCTAAACCACATGCCATGTCATGCATAGTCTTCTTCGATTTCCAAAAATATCTCCAGTAGAAAATATAATTTTCTGGAGGGAATTCCGAAATTACTCCTGAATATGAGTGTTGTGTTCCAACTATCGGTCAAAATCCCTTGGGAACGCCATATTCCTCGAGAGGTAAGGTTTTATCTTTGGACGAGCTCGATATACATTTTAAATATCACAATAGAATGCAAAAATGAATAGCAGATCCTGATATTCTATCATCAAACATTTTGCACACTTTAAATATTTACACATTTTTAATACTTTACATACTTACATACGTCCCAGTAGTTTCTCTTTCTATAATTAAGATAATGTAAAATCCAGGTTAGTATACAACTTCATATAATTGACTAAATATATGTAATATACGATTCAACTTAAAATAAAAACATCGATCAGTTGACATATTATTTATATTAATTTCTTTACTTAGCATATGTATTTTTGTTTTAATGATGCAATTTAGCATTTATTAACCTTTGTCATAAAGAGGCAAATTGAGTAAATTGTATATGTAAATTGTATATCCAAGCGATGGCCATGTTGAGTTATGTTAAGTTCACAGAAGCGTGAAAAAAGCTATAAATTATTAAGGTAGTGACTATAAATTATACTTTGTACGACAAAGTCAAATGGACATCAGAATCAAGAAGACTTTCAGTTGTAATTATTTAATGACTTCATGATAAGACATACTCTTATCATTTTGACAGGTATAAACTTTATTGAAATATAACAGTTACCCTCAACTTTGCACCAACCCTGCCCTTGTGATAACATTTGGAATAATATGTTTAACTGTTTAAGGCAGAATCAGGGTGACAAAATTGCATGTGATATATATATTTGGCCTACCAATCTATTCCTTATGATCTCAAATACAATATCTCCAGAAAGATCCACAATATGTTATAAATTATTGTTGAAGTTATCAAGGATTCAAATTGCAAAGAGAAAAAAGACACAATCCAGACCTGTACTTTCTTGCAATATTTGAGTCGTACCGCATATACTCTTATCTACTTACCAACGAAGAAGCCCTAAATACTCCACTTCATGTGTTAATTTTAAGATTGTGCTAGCTGACCGGTAAAATTACTTTCGTCGAAATTAAATATCTGAAACTTGAATGAACCTAAACTAAAAACCGGCTTTGAATCTGATTTGCTGCCTGTCTCAAGGCACGTGGCCAGTCTGCCAACGGTAGTGTGCTCTTGCCATTTGGAAGAGGTTTCCCTCGATTGGCGTTCGATTGGGACAGCATCTTTTCCATTCAATCGAGGTTGGGCCATCCAGCCGAAGGTGAGCCATACAACCGAAGGCAAGCAATACAACCGAATTTTGCCGATTCAATCTGACGGAGAATGCCGAGCCTATCTTTTTGACCAATTAGACACGTCCTCTTCACATTCGTGGTACCCTCGGCCAACTTCGTTTGCAAAGAAAATCTTCTGCAATCTCAGGCTTTTCTTGAGGTATCTTCGGTTGCAAGCCAAAAGTCGACACCCGCGTTCAATTTTGTTAAATTCTGGCAAATGGTTGTTGTGTTGATTTTCGCAATATATCGGCAATACTATGGCCAAACGTTGGTCTCAAGATATATCTAAGGCATGTACAGGGTGGGCCAAAAAACAATACCCAACTTTAAATCAGAATGAAAATAGCTATGTTCAATATGATACGTTGATTTATATATCATTTTAAAGTTAATCCATTTTTGAACCATTTGGTACTATAACACTGTGTCATGAAATCAATATTAAAGTTTTATTATGCTTGTTTTGGAGGCCGGGTCGGTATTTATGGTATCCAGATTTTAGGGAAAAAATAGTAAATCTGCGGAATATTGTTAATTTTTTATTTATAGAATATAATTTTGTTAGGTGTATACATGCTTGCATATTTGCATATTGTGTGACTAAACTTATTGTTTATGAATTTTGGTGTTGTTTACTATTAATAAGTACTCAAACGGAGTCTGTTAAAAGAAATTAAACATATATGTGACGAGGATTTTATTTTCCAACAAGACATTGCCTCGTACCATAGATCAAAGGAGACATTGGCATTCCTTTGCAAACAAGATGTCAATTTAATTGATCGCGATGCTTGGCCAACCAACAGCCCCAATGCTAATGTGTTTGATTACCATACATGGAGCCATCTCGAGGAAATGAAACAATCAAAAGTATCCAAAAAACAGCATTGATGAGCTGAAATAGAATCCTAAAGTGCTGAAATAAATTGGAACAGAAATCTCTCAATAAGGCTATTGATAGGTTGCGCTACCACTTGAAACTTATTGTTGATGCAGATGGGAGGGTATTGGGGTATATTGAGCAATTGTTAAAATTGTTCAAATAAATGAAGTGTAAAATGTTATTAAACAACACTGAAATTCATAAACAATAAAGAACAGGTCCATTTAACAGACTATTGGTCCACTTAGACTTTTTCTGAAAAACTCATTCTTCCATTTACTTTTAAAACCGATTGCAAGTTGTAGATAAACCTTTCTTCTTGAGATGTGCAATTTCAAAAAGTGGCATAAGTTCTCAGTTTCTTTGAAAAATTGGCAGTAAGAACCCCTATCACAAGGCTGTCTGAATATGGGTACACATTATGTTTACCATCAAAACTTATCATTATATAGAATTTGATATATGGAACATATGGCATACAAGTATTCGGAGAAGAAAATTGACAAAATCAAGCGATGTATGTAGTTTACCTATGGAAATCTAGAAAACATTGTCATTTTTCGTTCACTTTGTTATCAAGTTTTAGCATGGTGCTCATTCCCTTTCATTGAAAAATTAACCGTCAGCCCACACTCCCACAAAAAATATATTGAAACTGTATAATGCAGAGACTGTAAAGTAACTTCTCTGCAAATATCATTTTTGTGGGAGTTTGGGCTCACCACTAAAACTTAACTTTTGTGATGAAAATAAGCCTGACTGGTTTATGTTTTCAATATGGCTGCTAACCTGGGCATACATGTACACTACATAACTGCATGTACACCCTAGTGTCAAGGTCAAATGTCAAAACTCTCAGAAATCACATTTTAAGTAATGAGTCATACTTCCTCTTCAATTCCATGTCAATATATACTTGTTTTGTAGGGGGGCTATAAGAGGGGTTTACCGCCACCTGTCCTTTAGTCACACAATGATGCAAATATTAATATTCAAGCAAATAAAAAATCTTTGTAGAAAATGAGCCTACCATTTTTTTAAAAGTGCGAAGGTGGGGTCCTAATCCATAATTTTCAGAAAGTTAGAATGATATTTTACTATCATGGGGACTTCACTTGTAAGAAAACATATTGTTTTAATAAAAAAAACTATATTGATTGTTAGAAAGTACCCATGGTGAAATATATGACCGTCTAAAATCACTTGCCATACTGCACATGGACCTTCTTATAAGGGGCATCAAACCAATGGTTAGCAGCTAGACAACCTGAATTAAATGACCACTATTTCAGCCCATCTGTGTTGAAACCCTTATATATTCCCAAAAGTATAATTTCACACTGCATTGGTTATTGTAAACCTAGAAATAATCTTTTCTGGCCTCTGGGATTTTCTCCATTTGAAATTGATTTCGTGAAATTAATAAATGACCCCTTGGGGATGAAAGGGTTAATATGTATTTTTGCATTCACCAATAATTCTTATGGAGTTTTGATAACTCCACAGAGGGCGCCAGTGAAAAGGTAGAAGACAAAAAATCTAAATTCGAAATCGGGATGATGGTTGATTAAAATCAAGATTTATCAGTGCAATCACTCGTGAAAATATACAGATTTTATACTGTTATATTTTATTTTGTTTATCTTGTGTACATATTACTTTTACAAAAAAGTATAACGAAATGATTCGGTTCACTTCAAATATTTGACTTTTTGTGAGCGCAGATGAACTCTTTAATTTCACCATAGTTTTCACTACTATTAAACACAGATTGAGATTACGTACTTCAAAAAAAAACGAATTGCGAAACGAAAATTATCGAAATACGCACCCGTAAATGTAACGAGATACGGATGCGGTTACGTTTTTTAGCTTACCCGTTGTGCGAAACCTCTCTCTTCACTTGATGAATTTTCAGATAAAATATGAATACCTTTGTACTCGGGCTGAAAATTGAAAAACCGCCTAAGATTTTTTGAACCTTCTCATCGAGAAACACAGCACCAGTCCCGTACGCCACTCTCAAAGCCTATAGCATACGACCAACAAATAATCTAGCCAACTTTCGGAATCCTCTAAACCCAGATCCGACAACATCTTTTAAAGCGACTGCTATGCACGACTAGCCTCTTGGACAGAGTCAACACCAGCAAATATCGTCCAGATGTAAGACCAGGTGACCTTTATGGTACGCACATAAACAAAAGACCTTCCTCTGAAACATGTACGAATGTTACCCTATCAATGCAGGCATTTGTTTTAACAATACCAAAATTATTGAAATCAGACAAGTAATAAAATGATCGCAGGAGGAGGGGCTTTATGTTAGAAAAAGGTTGCAGTCATTAGGGTTAAACATACATTTAAATTTAGATGATCTTTTCCCTGAAATGATGATGCTAATCTGGAAATCATATCAAAAATGAAGTTAAAAGGGAAATACCAAGGGGCTTAAAATAGGCCCCTGTGTAAGCCAGCTTCCTTAGCTTCAGAAAATTGACAGTCTGCTTTCCATTTGAAAGATAAGCAAATACATAGTCTATTCATTTCACTTCCGTCCAGAAATCAAATGCGTTTGTAACCTTAAAATGCTTCCCTTGTCAAACTTATATAAAGTACTTTTAAAATGTGCAGGAACACAAACAAACGTTTACTTTATTTTATATATTTTATTGGATTTTGCATTAATATTAGGAAATTGGAAGTCCCGAAGCTCGCCGTTCCTGTTCCCATAGTTGTCGCAGTCGGGCTGGAATACATTCCTTTCTAAGACACGCCTCGCATAAACATTTTTGTTGCACGAGAGTCACCATTGCTGGAAACTGAGGAACCTGGATGGAGAAATTGCATATGTTAGTCGTATCAAAAAACGAGCTTTTACTATATTCAAACATTCAAATAAAGACATGGTAATTTCATTGTCTTTAAAACAATTCGCTCTTAAATCAGGAGGAACGAATATGTTTCCTTATATAATTATCAGATGACCCAGATTGTGCTTTTTTTGTAATTTATAATTTAACATTTGGATTTTGAGATATATCTTAAACTGATAATCTATTTTATAGTATTCGCGTGCTGAGACAGACAAAATGTAACATAACATCTTCTCCCACTAGTTTTTCTTTAAATGTATACTTTCATAGCACGGTGCAAAGAATGATAAGAAGTGATGATATGTTTAAAATAATCGGTTTAAGTAGTCTAAAGGTTAAAGCCAAAAGAGTTTTAATAAAAAAGCAAATACAATATCTATGCTGTTTGATTTGCCATCCATTATCAACTGTCTACAATTTGCATTCAAAAGACCATGTGCAGTATGGCAAGTGATTTTAGACGGTCATATCTTGCACCATGAGTACTTTCTGGTAATAAATACAGTTTTTTTAAAATTAAAACAATATGTTTTCTTTCAAGTGAAGTACACATGGTGATAAGAACATTGATCGAACAATTCGAAAAATTATGAACAGGGACCCCAGGTCAACATTTTCAGAGAGTTGGATTAATATTTTACTATCATGGGGACTTCACTTGAAAGAAAACATGTTGTCTTTATAAAAAAACACAGTATCAAGTTTATGGCCAGAAAGTAATCCTGGTGAAAGATATGACTTTCTAAAATCACTTGCCATACTGCACATGGACCTTTGATTAATTACCTGGGTATGGTTCTTGAGAAAGTATGCCCTACCTTCGGAGAAACCTGATTCCAAAAAGTGAGATCACAGCCACAACATCTCGCGTCTCCCTTTGAACAACCAACCATAAATATCTGACATGAGCCTCTGTCTCCCTGTTCGAGGAAGCCATTGGGACATAGTGTCAGACCAGTAATTGGAGGGAGTGTTGTGGTAGTCGGAGGTCGCGTGGTGGTAGTCGGAGGTCGCGTGGTGGTAGTCGTCGTTGTAGTGGTAGTAGTTGTTGTAGTAGTAGGTGGTGGTGGTGCCAATGTAGGAGCTGTATGATTATAAGGTATACGTACAAAGACCATGATTTTATGATTTACGACTTAATAACACGGCCGCTTGTTTCTGATTTAAATTTTTTTTAAATACCAATTGACGTATGTGGCAATGACAAAATAAATTCTAACGACGAGAGTACATATAAGGTTCGATAAACAAAACAGGATTTGAACGCAATTCCTGAAACAAAGGTTTCAAACAGAATTATCTTCCTTTTCTATGTTGACCTAGCTTGTCGGATCAACGGAGAACTCAAATATCCAGTGGAAAACTGTAACAATATGTATAACTATGTGATACACTATGATTGTGATATTGTGTTTTGTACAACCGGAAGTTGTCATAATAAAACGGCATTGTGGGATACTTCAAGCCTCGTGCTTTAATGTTTGATTTATTTTGTCCAACTATTACAAAAACTCAATAAAGAAATAAAGTGTTATGCATCCTCTTGTGCTCTGATCGAGATGTAGCTGCACAAATGTAAATGCCACACACTAAAGATGAAAGTCATTGGAGAATTCCGCTCAGTCATGGGTAAGAAAGGGATGAACCTAGTACCCAAAGTCCGTTATAAAAGCAAATGTGCTGCTGAGCTGGCTAGTTATGTGATGATAGCATGACTTGAAGTCACATGATTGGTCAAGTTTTCATCATTTCTTCTTGATGATTAAGAGCTATTGCAGAAACTAGTAAATAAGTTTTTGAGCTATGTTTCAAATTAAGGAACTGGGGTGGTACAAAATCGGGTACAAAATGCTGATCTCAGGTAATATTTATACATTTGTCTGAAATATATGTACATGACGAAGCATTCAACAATCAATTTAAGGCTGAATATATTGCATCAATAGAAAACTTACCAACTTTACATAGATCTTCGGAAATCTCTAAAAACATGTTTGTTAGTTTATCAAAATCATCGACTTGGAACAAATTCCTCTCCGTCGATGCAACCTGGAGCAATTGGGTACCCGCATCAGCATCGTTCTGATTCACCAGCCCAATAACAAACACATTGGCCCTAATAAAAGTGTAAGTGTAAAAGAATCACAAAGGCACTGATAGAAATACACGTACATGCATATATAAACATAATTTATTGTCGAGTCTTTGGGTGCATTTTCGTATGCCAGCGGGCGCAATTCACCCGTACAGCACTTAATGAGCCTTGTCAGCAGGTATCACGAAAAAGAACAAAAAGCTTTGCGATGCAAATTACATGCTCACATGTTTTCAACAATAACGCTCATCCAAGCGCACTTAAACCTTTTAATACCGCTATGCCAACTTTGTCAGTAACACTCGCGTTCCAGTCAATCGATGGAGCACCACATGGGTGCCATTGTGTCTGTGTGCGCTTGAATGAGTTGAATGATTTGTTAAAATCATGCAACCATGCAATTCACACCGTGATGTCAATTAATCGTTTTCATGATAATTAAAATTCAACACGTTTGAAATTAGAGTTGAATTATTTTATTTCCGGTTGATATAACGTCGTAACGTTAGTGAAATCGAACGCGATTTCAACTGATTGGATAACATGATGTGATCATGAGTAGGTTATGTGAGTAGATGCACGATATGATCGTGTTATTCTGCGAGCAGCAACCGAAGCGTTTATACACAGTTTTAGCTAGATGCGACTATTATGGGTGCATTCGGTTTTTATCATTTAGCCCTTGTTATATGCATATATTGATACCTATACACGATGAACAGAGGATGCATATATTGCAATACCGTCAATGTGATTCTTCATTGGGATTGATACTCGTCTTACATGCAGTAAGAAAACCAGCGATTTGGCAAGGGAAATACAAACCATAGTAGGGTATGGACACACGCCTAAATGAACATTGGAACACAAGTTGTCCTTATAAGATAGATACAAGTCTGATATAAATAAGATGCTTTGGACTGATTCAAAGAAGACTACTTTGTTGGATTGAGATCCATATAAGATAGATACAACAAATACAACCAAAAGTAAGGTATGGACACAAGCCTATGTGAACACTGGGCCACATTTTGTCCATATAAGATAGATACCAGCGTGATATAGATTAGATGCTTTGAGCTGATTAAAAGAAGACTACTTTGTTGGATTGAGATCCATATAAGACAGATACATGTACGTGTGATACAGATATGATGCCTTGGACTGATTCAAGGAAGACTACCTTTGTTGGAAATCTCAAAGAAGAGACATTTCGAGCTTTGGTCACTAGTTTGCCCGTTTTTTAGAAGGTTCTGGCGTAGCTGCTGGCTCCAATTTAATCCTATAATATATGTGATATTATGTTGTGTGGTTTGTGGTGAAGACTGTTTAATTAGGAAATAATTAAAATTCAACACGTTTGAAATTAGAGTTGAATTATTTTATTTCCGGTTGATATAACGTCGTAACGTTAGTGAAATCGAACGCGATTTCAACTGATTGGATAACATGATGTGATCATGAGTAGGTTATGTGAGTAGATGCACGATATGATCGTGTTATTCTGCGAGCAGCAACCGAAGCGTATATACACAGTTTTAGTTTATGTTGTAAGTTGTCATACAACGGATTCGAAAATTTAGTTTTATTGTTCGAGGAGGCATACCTTTTTCCCTTTCGAAGTCACAAAGATTTTGATCTGGGTTTTAACGGTGTCAGGTCGATAAACTAACGTTTTTCATATTGAAGTTAGTGAACACTTTCTTGTAAGTGCTTTTGACCAAATCAACGTTTTTGAATTAAGTATATGTGTTCTGAAGTTGATGTAACCTGTTCCCATTTATTACTATCTTGGGAAGTATATTTTTCTGCAATTATTACAATGCATTGCATAATATAGGATGTTAATTAAAACAATTAGATATTAGGTTTCTTTGAAGCAATTATGTCATTTGCATATAAATCTGAATCTCAAGGCATGGTTTAATTTTTACTGACAGCGCATTGTATCTTAGCGAATAAACATGTATTTAAGTGCGTTTCTGTCATATTGTTTCGAGGAAGGCACAAAGTTTTGCTTTTTAAGATATTGATTATATTCGAAAGTCCTTTATATTTTTAGATATATGTAATATCTATTTCCAGAAGGGCATCAAGTCTTGGTATTTTAAGATGATAGTTGTGTTCATCAACAACATTTACAGTAGTTGTTTTATATTAATGTGACAAACACATTAAGAGAAGTGCTTGTCAGCTAATTGCATTTTATATTAAACAGTTTTTATAGTATTTAGATTTTACAACGTTTCCAAGAGTTGTACTTTTGCTTTTGTTGCAATACGAGACCAGTTGGTATAAGGGTTTGCAAAGCATGGTGCTTTCCAGATTTTATATTTTTCATCACAAAAGGTCGTAGGATTTTTGTATACGTTCGTTCGTGTATTGTGATAATCACGGAATTTTTGTCTATTGTGACCAACAATGTCGCATATTACGACAGTCTGTTAAAGAAGTAAGTTTCATTTCAGTTACGTTTTTTGCCAAGAGGCAATGATATGGTTACAGTGCAAGTCTGTAGACAGTTATTTAGATTATTGTTAATATGTATTAATGACAGTTTGTGATTACTGTATTAGATAGTGAGGTATATTACTCACAGATTTTGCATAGTGCTAGAAGGCACTATATACGTGTATGGTCCTTATACAAGTTTTTTATAGTGCAAGTTGACAGATACAGTCACAATTTAGAATTTGGTTTATTCCGAAATTTGTGAATTTATTTGAGATCTTTGACGTGTTAACAAACGTGTAGCCACAATGGCTTTAATGACAGTTGATCATTGGTTTTGGGTTGTTGGATTTAGATGTTTTAATTATACGGTGCCTTATTGATGTCTTGAAGGCAGTTAACATCGTAAATCAGCAGCGAGGTTGAGAGCCGAGGACGGATGTTGGGTATATTTGAACCTAAGAGGTTTCTGGCATTAATGCCATCGGCATCGTGGCCGCTATGACATTGGCATCGTGGCCGTCATAGGTACCTGGATGCATCGCGAACTGGCTTCATTTTTTCATTTTTTCACTCATTCTTTGTACCAGATGTACTTAACGCTTTTCCAATAAACGCGGGCTGCTGGCTCCAATTTAATCCTATAATATATGTCATATTATGTTGTGTGGTTTGTGGTGAAGACTGTTTAATTAGGAAATAAGGCTCATTAATAACTGCTGTGTGGGTGTATTGCACCCGCGTGTTTACGAAAATACAGCCTCAATGAATTGTTGGTCATTTATTACATCCTATTTTGAATGCTAAAGTCTTTATTTTAAACCTAAAACCAGAATCTCTGTCAATAAAACATCGACAACTCATTCAGCTCTGGTTTAAATCATCGAACCACTCTTTCCAATCGCTGTGTTATAGTGGCGAGACTAAGAACATTTTTGGGGATTTACTGAGCCGGTTATGTATATCAAAGAACCTGTCGTGAAGATTTGAAAACTACATACCCATCATCCGTTAATGCCTGTGCATTCTCAATTGTTTCTTCTCCTTTATTCTTAGGTATAGTCACCCCATCTGTGATTACGAGAACAACGTTCGGTACTAAGGGTCTGTCTCCATTCTCCTCAGTAAAATATATGTTTCTAATTTCGTCAAGAGCTTTATGTGTATGTGTTTTGCATCCATCGTTAGTGCGCGTGATCAGGTTGGAAAGATCGATATTTTTAACGTTTTCCAAGGCAGCTGCTTTATCTGTAGAATCTTTAAGATAATATTGATGCTGTGTTCCTTTATTGAAATTTACTTGGCCAAACTGGAAAAGACGTAAAAATTGGGATCAATTCTTTTTTCTGTTATCCTTGTCTTATCGAACAGGAACTGAAAATAGACACTGAAATAACAAAAAGCGATTTTGGACCAAAAGGTAAAACAATTGAGTGTAGAAATTGTCAATATCAAATTTATATAGCACAATACCTGAACCGAGATAGCCGCAGTGTCTACGGTGTCTTGTAGCCGGGCTAGTACCCGTAACAGATATAAACCAGAGAACAGATATAAATTATCCGGAGAAATCATAGTGATCATTTGTTTAGTCATCTCACAAATATGCAATCTTGAATACCCAGAATCTGTCAGAAATAAAATCCCATGGGAACCCAGAACGACAGATATCTATCACAATTTTTTCCCCTTTAACTGCTCTAACTTTAACAATTTTTATCCAATCTAAACAGATTATATTCTAAAATGTGTATATTTACTATTCTTATGAAATTAAACATCAAATATTGTGTCTTTAGATCTAAATGTCCAAACAACTAGCAAACAATGAAAATGCTCTGGTTTCAAACCCTTTTTAGAGGCTGGCATTCAAGAGCTGAAAAATCATAATTGCTGGCGTTTTCATCGCGTATGTTGAATGGAAAAAACTCTCACATAGTGTTCACTATATGGAAAATTGTAACATATATTTTTATAAGATGGACAAATATCTAGCATTTCAAGTTGCTATTGTCTTTCTTTGCCTTTATTTGTCAAATATTTGAGTAATTTAGATTGTTTTCATGTTTTGATGTACATGTAATGCAAGATCATTGTATGGCTTAGGTTCGCTATACAGATAGTTGTTTTTTCATCAATTGCTGATACATATACTAACGTCCGATGGATCTGATATATTGTGAAATCAAGGGATAAACAATTTAATTTATGTACCTTACCTGACTTTGATCAAAACCAGGTCCCACCTGGAATGAATCAACCATGCTTGCAAGAAAGTCCCTCACTTTTTCCCCGTCTTCTGCTCTAATACTACACGATGTATCAAGCGCAATCACCACGTCGAGTCCACAGGCTCCATTTTCTTCTGCAAAAGGATACAAAAAACACATCAGATAAAAAGTCCCTGTATTGACATCCAGTTCCCCTTTCTCAAATTATTTACACTTATTACACAACATATTTCCATGCATCGTCTTGTAAGGTGTTTCTCCAAATATAAATACTTGCATATACTATATATGACACACACCTGTAAAACTACGAATATACAGTGCTATAATTACACATACATGTATATCACACAATGTACACAACATAAAATACACGATATATCAAATATAGGAAAATCCCAAACACAGAACCGCCTAAAATTTCACTAATTTATTTTATCTAGTAAGCAAATTAACTGATATTTTAGATACGTACTTTAACCATTGGTTATCTAAAATGTTTTAAGAAAACTAACACCGTTAGGGGGTCACCTTTTTCAGGCCCGAAGCCTTAGGGGTTCGGGGGGTTTGAGCTCGTCAAAAGTCTTGTCAAAAGTGATTCCCCTGAAGGTTTCCAAAAAATGCCCCGCCCCTCCCCTCCCCTCCCCTGGCTACATATCCAGTTATGTCAGGACTGAAAGCAATGCGCATGCCCCTTGAAATTCTGTGTTTGAGATTCCATAAGCCAAGTCAAGAGCATAGACATGACTTGGGCATATTCAACCATTTTGTAATAAGGTAAAAATGAAGAACAAGGATTTAAAACATCTAAATCAAAAGAAAGATGATATGCTCCTCATCCTTGGAGGCCTAGCCTAGATAATCAACCAATATCATGCAAGAAGCATATTCAATACCTGAACATGACACAAGTGGTTGATACACTTGATGAATAATCATCTTCATCCTATTTTTACAAAATGCACCTCAAAGTCATGTACAGGGATTTTGCCACAACGTTTTTAATATTACAGACAAATGTTTAAATCATATATCATTGGAAAGACAATTCAATTTCCCACAAAATGATATATAAATGATATATAATTTATTTCATATAAATGAGTACCTGTCTTAGAATAACATTTCGAATACCACAGGGGTCAGAATCATGATTTACCAATTGCTGAATATAGAATGCTCAGGAGTGACAAGACAGTTATAGACCCTATGTCATATTTTGGGATATAATTATAGGAGGTCAAAATTGTTGATTTATGAATCAAATGAAAGTAGATTGATTCAGGAATATAATATTATTGAGTTCTTTTACGATTTTGATAGGTATTGGTAATAAAGCCTAAATAATGTAATGAAGTCTGTATCAACTAGTTGATATTCATTCATTTTCAAGACATTTTGGGGATAATGCTTATTTAAGACTAAAATTATCATGAAATGGTCAATGATGATGTTGTACTTATATAACTTATCTTACTGACATTTTAAAGAGCAGACAATGCAATTGTAGACACCAGTAGAAGAAATAATGGAAATGAGAACCCCCGATAAGGAGAGATTTTTAGAAGGACACAACTATTTTATTCTGGAAGTGATCATCATGAAATTTTAACATACTTTTAGAAATTAGGTGAATTTATACATTCTGAAATATTTTCTTCGAATTATTAAAACGTGCGTTTGAAGAACGGTTTTTGTGAAGCGATAAAATTCAATTTTCCATATTTAACCGTTACATTTTGCTTAAAATCAATAACTTTCCCATTACTGTACGAGCAAAATAGAATATGGCTAAGTAACATAATGAAGCAAAGTCTTAGTTTTCGTAAAGAAATCGATGGGCGCTCAGCCAGAAATATATTTTAAGAATTTTTTACGAATTGGTTCCATTGTTCCGTCATTCTCATGAGTGGAAAAGGTCTCAAAAACATATTTCTAGGGAAACGCCCATTGATTTCTTTTTATTTTCTAAGAGTTCAGATAAATAGGTATCTTACAACTGTGACACTTTGTTCCCATCGCATCAGGCCATACACGGATTCTAACCACAAATAAAGAGTCTAACCTTAAAAAACGAGTTCATTGCCTTGTTCTTAAAAAGGCAATTTTTATATCACACAAGTTGTTTTTGGGAATATCTAAGATCACCTAATATCTAATATCATCTCTGATGTATTGTTAAACTTCCATGATGATCACATCCAGAATAAAAAAGCAATGTCCTTCTAAAAGCAGCTCCTTATCGGGGGTCATCCTTTATCCTATATCATGGGTTATGGCAAAATATCAACAGCGTTTCTTTGCAAAACGTGTTTGAAGCAAATATCAATGTTGTGTCTAACAATCTAACTTTATAACGACCTACAATGCATAAAGATCGATTCCATGATTATTTTAGAGCTATAAAATGATTTACAAACAATAAAAACAAAACTCCAATAATTTTTCTTTATATGTTAAAGCCTAAATTTGTTGATCAAGCAATGCGATATTATGTAATAAGCTCGAAACATAGAGCAAAATCTTGTTTTCGACTGGTACTACCTCATGATACGAAAATTACTATGGAGTCACCAATAATCATTCTCAGTATACGCCCAGCGTTCTTCTATTAAAATCACAGTTCAGTGAACCATTTTGCTCGGGGATTTGATATTTCAGTTTAGTAAGTAATTTGTACCAGTACCAGTATATGACTTTAAGAAAAACTTATCATTATCTGATATTACAAACATACCATGGACATACTATTGGTTGAAACATAAAATCGAAAGACATATATTTCACCAAAAGTATCCAATTTTTGGATTGACGATAGCAAGATCGATGGTAAACATAATATCCCAGTTTTGATACATCGTTTTTCTGAATTTGGAAAATAAAGTCGATAGAAAATGAATATCCAACGAATTGTTAAACGTTTGGATATAAACAATAGTGAATAAGTACACAACGACACACCCGTGATTAAAGAACAATATATACACTCAGTTTATAATGACTATAGCTATATGTACTTTTAATGTACGATTTCAATTGTATTCCCTGTATTATGACATGTTAGTAAGCAGGGGGATCTTCCTGGATACATTTAAGGTTAGCAAATCATTATCTTATATCCCCATTGTCACAACGATCGATTAAGAAAAACCAAATTGCTTTAAATATGTTAAAGAATGGTAATGCACCCAAGTTAAAGAAAACATTTAATGTGAATTAAACAAAATATATATTATAAGATATTCTATAGGTGTTTGGTTGTCTTACCTTGACTGTTGACTATATCGAGCAGCAGAGATATTCCAAATAGTGTCCTTAATATCACCCGCATCGTTATAAGTTCTACAATCAAAATGATATAAACATTTAATATATAGCATTAAAGGTTTCAAAATCCATGAAGTACGAAAATTTGTTCAATGTTAACATAAGAGCATATCAATATACAAAATATTCCTGGTCCTATATTGAATTTTGACTCGCAAATGAAAATAGACACACTTTCATATCTCCCTCACTACGCTTGCTAGTGCAGATATTTTTACATTCGTGGACAAAGGGCCATTTTGCAGCAAATCGAATTTTGCCCCCGAAAAAGGATCTGGGAGTCAGTGACAGTTACGGAGCAATTTTTTGATAGAATTCCTTTGATTTAGTTACGTGTGTCGCACGGATGAATACTTATGGCCAATATGGTGTGTATATATATGAAAATCCTGACGTGACCCTCACCGTTCTAATATTTCTAGAATACTATTTTCTAACTAAGGACTGTTTTTGGTAATAATGCATCGTGCTGATATTATATTTTTTGCATTTTGAATTTGCTAGCTCGATGGTTGTCTGAATATGAACGATATATGATTAACAATAATGCGCGATCAATAAATAAGGGTTATGTACTAGGAGATTTTGGATATGCGGTTTATCCAGAGGGAGATATGCATATCTACCTGAGGGACCGTAGGGACCGAAGGTAGATGTGCATATCTCACGAGGGATGAACCCAATATTTAAAATCGTGAAAAGAAAAAAACGTACGAAATGCTCATTTTTCATCGCGGCCATTTTGATATGAGGTAAAATCACCCTCGTTTCAAGCTCCCCCTCCCAGTGAATGTCCCTGGAATTAATAAAGCATTTTTGTTGCTCCGTTTATTGGTACCATTAATAGTTTGCAATTTCCGTCATTCAACATTAACTCATTACGCTGTATGGGCCTTTTTATAAATCTATAACATGATTAATGTGTTTTAATCATAGTAAAATATGATTTATGTATCTTATCATGTACATATAAGTATTTTTAAAACGACATCAAGCAAAATTGAATATCTTATTCTGACAGTATAAATGTGAAGCACTTTTCCGAATCCATGTATAATCCTAATTCAAAATTTTTGACCGAATCGTCCCAAAATCGAAAATAAAAATGATAAAAGGCTAGTAGATGGTGCGCGTTTGATTTGTCTGGTTTTGAGACAAATATAATCATACACCATAACCACAATGAAACGCCGAGAATAGTACATTCCTTTTTAACTCATAGACTATTGGACGTGACGATCATTTTTATAAGAAATATTCCGTTCAGTGGTAGCTAATTAAAGCAAGAAGGACTTACCTATGTAGTTTAAAATATCCAAGTCCGAAAGATTAAAACAAAAACAATTTATTATTGAACAATGATTTCATGCAAGCATGATGTCAAAAAATTATAAGATGCAAGATAAATAGTTTCTTAATGATCCAATGGTTGGTATTTTGTATTTAGATATCAATGTTTGTTGCTAGGCTGTATATGTACAAAGGGATTATTTCTTATGTAACATTTACTTATCCAATTACAAAAACATATATCAATGTCAAAAGTTCGCGTTTTGCGCACATCGCAATAGTTGATTCATAAAAACTTATAATATCAGATGAAACAATCGGCACAACACATTGCAACACAATAAAGTAAAGACAAAGTGGACCTGTATATTGATACTTCTTAAACTATGGCTTTCTAACTATACAGCTGTACATCGATTTAGTTTATTAATTCGATCGTTTATTGTCAATTCAAGATCAATCATGAAATATGGCAGTCATCTGATTTAGATACAATTTTCCATGGTCAATTTTATATCGATACAGTCAGTGTGGTAGGTGATGCGATTAATGTATATGTATACTTGTACATAACCCGTGTAACAGCAGGGTAGTCCAAAAAGATGATAAAGTACCATTCTCTGTTGAAAAGAAACTTTGACAATTTCGTTTCATAGATCTGTCTTACAGACATGTAAGTTTTATATGGTGCAAGTTTTTTCATCGTTTGCCACCATTTTGCAAGTTTAATAGATAAAAATGCTCTAAGCTCCTTGGTGCTGAATCACTGGCTACTTGCACATTAAAGTTTATAATTAATGATCCGAAACAAACGGAACGCGCCCTTTTGAGCTCAGATTCAACCTTATGCGCATCATCAGATTCATTATCGTCCATTAGTGTGGAGAAAGTGACTGTTTGGTGCATGTTTGGTCGTAATGGCATCATCAGGCCATACTGACTTGAATATGCCGATATGCATACGGTAACTCTGAACTCGGAGCGATATTTTGAACTTATAAGAAGTAAATTAATACCGACACTGAGGCGAAAGTGAACAGTGGACACGGATACTGTAATGTACTGTAGGATCAGTAGGATGGAACAACATCGCATTATTCCAATGGTTCAATTCACACAAAAACCTCCATCTTTACTTCCCTGGAGACAGCCTCAACTCCTATCATACAGACCACCCATGGCCTGCACATTCTCCGGTCCCATCATATATGGATTATTTTCTGTGGGGATACCTGTAAGATCTAACAATCCCCAAACTATTGATGCACTTGAGAATAACATTAAAACAATTCCATGACATGTTGGACAGGGCCATAGGAATCTTCAATGTACAAAACTATACTATATTTAATTTAATTGTATATGTAGCCAAATTATGATTCAGCTCAGCGATTCTTCCCTGGTGTGGAGGTTGTTTTATTACCGGATCATTATCATTTTGTAGAAAATTAAATTATCTTAAAATTTTATATCATGGTTGGTGTTTTTGTAAAAAAAATTATCAGGAATATTGGCTAGGGTGTGTTTTTGGCCCATCCTGTATAAAACACACGTAGAAATGAATTTGAGTATTTAGATAAAGATATATTAGAAAATAGAAACCCTCAGGAGTGGATAAACCCCAATAATACTTCTCCGTAATGTTGTTCAAAGTTGCAATTTGCACAAGGCATCCGTTTACAGCCAATATACAAGTACAACGATTGGGTTATCACGTTTATAAACTTACAAATAAAGACAAATACAATAGTTCGGTTTGACATTATCATTATTATAGAGCAATTAATCAATTATGAAATATCTAGAAGTAATTGTACTTCAATATATCCTTATCCTGAGTTACATGTTAAGACAATTAAATATAAATTACTACATCAAAATTAGGGTTGACATGGCTTGTGTGTGTTTGACTCGATGCGACAGGTGAGACAATTGTAGAAATGAAAAATAAAGTAGAAGGTTGTCCCATTTAGCCCAAATTAGTCTCTTATGATGGTTTCTGCCGAATCTAGTTTAACCACTTTGCTTTCATTGTTTTTAAAATGTAACATAAATTTTCATTTATATGTTGTAAATATCTAAGCACATGTGCCAAAGGGAAAGGACCAAAAGTTTTAATGGAACTTAGCAAGACGAAAATCTAAGTGCATACCAGTCAAGAAAAACAACCCCATCCATATATCCCAAAACCTTGATCGAACATGAAAAGAAACAATTCGACATTTAAGAACAAAATTTGGCATTTTTCATAAATTTTGTAAGATTGGTTAAGAACTCAATAGGAATTGGAAGTGTGATTTATTTATTATGGTCATTCATATATACTCCTCAAAAAATTAAGGACCAGCGGTTTTCCTCATAGGTTTACATGTTAACACCCATATTTGTTCTTTAAAGTGTCTTTCTAAGACTTAGAAGGAGAAATGTGAGATTTCGAGCCATAAGTCTCAAGAAAATGCTCTTACCTTTCTAGTAGGATGAGTCCAGGTGCCAAAAACAGCTGATCAAAGGATATATATCATTTTCTAATTGAAAATTTTTGTTGAGCCCTGCATTTTTAGCACTGTTTTGACAGGAAGTCATACCCAAAATGAAAACTGAATTAAACAACCTTTATCCTAAATGTAGATCAAAATACTTACTCAGACATGCAAAATGTTATTATTAGTAGTAATGCTGATCATTTTTAAGAAATTTAAGCATGTAAATAAGACTTTTTCGTCCATGATTATATAGATAAAGAATTTCTTCCTTCAGGAAGCTTTGGCAGTTTGGTGTAGTGGTTAGAGCTTTGGGCTCAAACAGACTTTTATTCCAAAAGATCTGGGTTCAAATCCCTCCAGTGGAATATGTTTTTATTCTTTATTTTTGTTTTTTTTTCATTTTGATCCACAATATTTCTAAAATAAATTTTTATATATGGCACCTAAACCATATTTAGTATTTCCAAAGGTTTTAATTTTTAGATGAAATCATAGAAAGTTACTTTAAGGTTTGCAAAATTCAATGTTATATCTCCATTACAATTTGATGTCAAAATTGATGAATTTCATAAAATTTAACAAAAATGGCAAATCCGAATTATTGAATTTGAAATCATTAACATTTGTAAAACCTGGAAAATTAGATTATATTTTTGTTCAGTGGACAATATAGTAAATTTATTTGTCTCTTAAAATTTTATTTTTGAAAGCAATCGGATGGATGGATCGTTCCTCATATGACTTATGGCAACCCAACTATTTCCTATTGGTTTACATGGGGTCTGCCATTTTTGTTAAATTTAAACTCAAACAAATATAGGGGTTAACATGTAAACCAATAAGGAAAACACTGGTCCTCAACTTTTTTTGAGGAGTATAAATGACAAAAACTCAAATACTATAATGAGTCATTAAGACCACATTGTAAGCTTTTTTACACACCTCCGCCCTGCACCTCTGGTCTACACTCCTGCTCCACCAATATACAGGGCGTATAAAAAACGCAACAAGTAGTTATCTCGTAAAATCACAAAACTAGTGATGACTATATCAATTTCATTCAATGTACCATAAAGCCACGCCTCTCCTCTTTGCAATGATATGTCATTCATTCACATGTGATAATAGTTGGGTGAGAAATCCTTCCATTTGCACAGTGGGTCAAAATCGGCTCTGCACCAAGTTTTAGATATTGAAAAAATCAGTGCAAGGGCTAAGTGCCAATGGAAGTTCCTCTTACTTGAATTGTTGTGACTTTTTCTTTTGGAGTTATCTCAGGAGCATCTGTGCTCACAATTCCTCCACCAAATATTGCAAAACCTCGAAAAAGAATTGCCCATGGGCTGCTTTTCTCTGCTTTAACCCACAGATGACTCAGAGCTAAACCATGCATGACGTGGACAGATGAGCGCATCTTTGTGTGCAAGGAAGTGGTGGCAATTTGGAGGGGTATAGGATGTATTCTTGCAAGAGTATGAGTATGAACACTTTACTGTCTATGCCACACCTGTCACACCTTCTTCCAATAGACCCTATGCCCCTTGTACTGCAATGTTTAAAACTTCGGTCCGAGCTGAATTTTGCCACACTTTGCAAAATTAATGATTATTCGGCCAGAGATGACTCCCTGTGAATGAATGATATTCCATTACAAAGAGGGGTAATTTGGCTTTTTGGTATATGGAATGAAAAGGATGCAGTCAGCATTGGTTTTATGTTTTCTTCCAATATTGCATCGGCCATCGTACACTGACTTTTGCGATGTTTATAACTTGGCCCCAAGCTAATTTCGGCCCACTTTGAAAATATAATGATTACTCGCCCAACCATGACCAAATATCAATGAATGGTATATCATTGCAAAGAGGAGACACATGACTTTATGGTGCATTGAAAGAAATCAATGTTGTTATCACTGGTTTTATGCTTTTTCGAGATAACAATCTGTTGCGTTTTTTTGACACGCACTGTATTACTATTTTCCGTGAGCAATGTGTATTTTATGATAAAATATTTTTTAACATATATGCACATATTTGAAACTTGGTTACAAAAAGAATGTAAGTTTGGGATTTGTAAAGTTGGTATTATTTTAGATGTTTTACGTCTTGAAAATAAAGTTCATGGTTTTCTGCAAAAGGGTATCAAAGAACAATAGTTTTATTATTACAGATAGCTTCTATAATATCCAAACAATAAACCTTTTTTCATGTCAAAAACGACATCTTTGGAGAACGGGTAAGAACTAGTTTGGTGTGATAGGGGGTTATCTACACGTTATTTCCAAAGCGTCTTCTAATGAGACCGTCGGAGGGACAGTGGAGATTCTGGACTGCATCGCTTTAACCCCCCTATCACACCAAACTAGTTCATACCCGTTCTTGCCAGTCCTACGAAAACGTCGTAAAACGGGCTCAATCTGGCTGTGGTCGGGAAATATGTCTAAAATAATTAGCTACTTCGTTCATAAACAGTCTTCAATACGTCCATCTCATTCGCAGTTCGTTCAGGTCGCACCACATCGGTGTGCAACGTCGTATAACGCGTCCCTTAGTCTAGAAGGTCATCATGACATGACTACAGAACGGTATGGTCGCCATCGAATTTTGAATCGATTCAAAATTCTACATCACATTCCCCGTCCGGGAAAGTCCATGAAGTTCGTAAACAGACCGTAGAACGTTGTAGTTACGTTCATTCCGTTAGCACACAGTTTAAAACCAGTTTTGAAGAACCCAGTGGCAACTTGCTTGGTGTGATAGCTATATTTTTGCTAACTCATTGATAAATACGTTCTTAATCAGTTTTAACCCGTTTTCAATTAGTTCTACCTCGTTCTCAATACGTCCTCAGACAGTTCAAGTCGTTGTAAAAACGTCCCTAGCAGGATTGAAGTACGACGGTTCCGTTCGTAGTACGTCAACTTCGTTGTTAATAAGTTGTCACTCGTTCTAATTGTAGAACGTGACGACCAAGAGAACATTTTGAGCATGTTCTAAGTTCTAGAGGACCTATCCGTTCGAGTACGTTCGATGACGTTTGTAAATAGACCCCAAACGGTTCTAAGTACGTCCAGTCCGTTCGTACACAGTTGAAGCCTGTTTTCGAGAACCTAGTGAGAACTAGTTTGGTGTGATAGTAGGGTAAGCGATACAACTGATTCTGTCCATCAAGCTCTAAAATGTCTGTTTTGTTTTGAATTATTCGAAATAAAAGAAGGCTTTTGAAAGATAAAACCAGAATACTAATCTTTATATTCTTACATATAGCTAGATCTTAATATAGTGCTTATCCATTCCAGTCTTCTCTTTACCTTCATCAACAAATTTAATCTAAAGTTTTTTTCAGATCAATTTATTTCAATTAGATTCAACATTTTGACAATTTTTATACAAGCTAAAATAGTACATTTATCATTATTATGTTAGCATAGCCTGATATAAGCAACACCACTGAAGATATTTAACAAGAAGAAACAGAAACAGTTAGTACTAAATACTAGCCTCGCGCCCCTAGGATATGACTGCTTCGATCACCAAAATTGAAAAAACAAACAAGTGCAGCTTTTGTATCAATTCTTTCCAGAATATATAACAATCCATATAATTCCATCTACGCCCGTATCCTGATACCTGATTCCTGATACAATTAGATAATATAGATTTGAAGGTGATCGACCACAGTATGTATCGTGGCAATTTACCGGTCTCCTATTGTGTGAATGGGGCAATGTTTTTGTTTTCACATTTAGTTATGTAGATTGTATATACATTTATAATAATCGCCATATTATAGATTTATAAAGTTATACAATGAAATCTACATGAGATATGTTTGTATTCCCTGTTGTATTGGAGATTTTTTGGAAAATCTATTCCACAGGTAGTCCAGCTTGTCTCCTAGCATCCTCCCATGCTCCCCGCAGAGCTTTTGGAACGCAAATCTTTTTCTTCATGCATGCTTCACATAAACATTTGGTATTGCCCGGCCTCGTAGTGACATACATTGGCCGATTTGGCACCTGAAGGGGTAGATAGCATAAACGATAACACAAAGTAATATTTAATTAACATTCGTCATATTATCTTGACACGAATCGTAAATTGTGGTTCATTATTATTTAGTTTATGCCCTCTCATTTACCATGACTACGTCAAGTTTCAAGGAACTTAAAGGACAACAGTACATAAATCTGTGATCTGACCAACACATTTCACGTTCACCTTTCACCCTACCCCTCCCCCTCTGGGATGGCGGAGAGTTTCAGAGAGCTTTTAAAAGTATTGAGACCTTGACCGTGTTGTCTCCAAAAGTGTGACATAGATTGCCAGCAAGGATAGCCATACGGAAGCCATAATTGACTAAAGTCGGGTGGCGATTACTAATTATAATCGTCGAGTTTCCCCTTTCTTTCTCCAATAGGGTAGTGAAATATAAAGTGAAATATATGTTTTGACTCTCGACAAGAACTATGAATCCACTTGTCAAACCTTTGATACTCTTTGTACAAACAAACATACACGTACTTTAAGATCCCGAAATGATGAAGTAGCAGGTATTAGTATCTTCACTAGTAGTTTACAACTTAAAAGGAATTTCATCAACAAGCTTAAAATACACATTACCGCTAAAACTGGATCATTAAACAGCATACAATCTCCACAACACAATGGATTGTTCTTTGGACAGGCGTTCATAACAATCTGGCAGGATCCTTTATCCCCGGGATTGAAAAACCCCCTGGGACAGATTCCAGTTGGTTCCGCGGGAGTAGGTCTGGGTGTCGTTGTGGTAGTAGTAGTCGTCGTCGTTGTTGTTGGTGGTTTAGTAGTTGGAACTTCTAAAATTTTACAATTTTAACGATACATGATTGAAACCGAATAAACCAATATGTTATCGTAATAGGAACAATATTTGATGAAAACGTAAATCAGTGGTACAATGATGAAAACGTAAATAGGTTGTACAACTAAAACGTTAAGGTAAGACAAGAACACAAATGTGTACAACATGCCCCCACCAATGGGTGATCCTATATACTGCAAGTTTTTCATCCTGAATGCTTAACACTATCAGGTGAAAGGACAAGGTTTTAAGAAAATATAGAGTTGAAGGTGATCGACCGCAGTATGTATCATGCCTGGCAATTTACCGGTCTCTTATTGTGTGAGTGGGGCAATGTTTATTCTTTCATATATAGTTATGGAGCTTCTTTATACATTTATTCAATAATCGGCAGATTATAGATTTCTAAAGGTATACAATGAAATCTATAACATATGAAATATATTCATTTGTATGCCCTGTTGTATTAGAGATTTTGTGGAAAATCTATTCCACGGGTAATTATAATCGTTGAAAATAAACCGATATGTTAATGAACTTTGTAGAGGAAGAAAACCAAATCGTTATACGAACAATATTTGATGAAAACGTGAATCAGTGGTACAATGATGAAAACGTAAATAGATTGTACAACTAAAACGTTAAGGTAACAAAACATGATCAAAACGTAAATAAGCAGAACAATTGAAACATAATAAATTTGTTTCACACCCTTTCATGTACGAAATAAAGAATATTATATAAATTAAAATGCAAAATATTTATGAAATGTAACTGATCAGATCATCATATTGAAATATGCAATATTACAATAAAGATATTTTTATACAGACAAACAGTTACCAAGATTGCATATGTGCCAATCATTCGATGTCTTTATCAAGATATAATAACTTCATATCGATTACTTATAACACTATTAAGATAAGATGATCAGAGTAATAGTTAATATCAAAGTGATACGTTATCAAATGAAATACTAAGTATATTATTATAGAAGTAGCTTATGTCGACTAGAGGAAGCAATAAATGAGACAATCACTGGTCATCAAACAAACTATTTTGTTAGACTGATCTTCATTGCATGTTCAATTTGTGAGAAAGGGTCGATGGCAAACACTGACAGGACCCGGGTTTCTATAACACGTGCTAGAAACACGTACTAAAATAGTCTCGCAACCAGTGCTATTTACTGAACGAAACGACACGAAAACCCCGGGACAGCGTCCTATCAGAGTATTTATGGATAGGACCCCCGTATGACCATGCTATCAGTTTGAATCTATCATTAACAAACTTATGTAACAGGCCCGTAGCCAGGACCCTCTACCATTGCCAAAAATGCTTTCAAAACCATGCAGTTTTCACCATTCTGAGCACTTTTTCAAATGGTTTTGGTCATTTTTGGGCCATTTCAAAAGTGAATCCCTTGGATTTTTTTAAAATCGACCCCCCCCCCCCGTCAAATGCCGGCTACATCCCAGATTTAAACTTAAAACAATAAAATGCTGTATAAAACCCAGGGGATATATCATCCTCCGACTCATTTCTCCTGCATCCCTTGACCCGTACTTAAATAGTCTCGAAACCAGTGCTATTTTAACTTTTGCCGGTAGAGGCGCCATAAACTGAACGAAATGCAAAACACTCTAAACCCGGGATGTAGCATCCTTTGGTATTCATGAATTGGATTAATTGCCCGACCTTTTACCTTTCTGTCAATTTGAATTCATGCCGATAAAGGCTCTCAAAATAGAATAAAATTTGTTCTCGAAATTCAAAGATGAATTGGCTATTGCAATTAGGAGTTGGAGTCCTTATGTGTTCAAGTTTACGTTTTCAAAGGTATTTGGGATTACAGATGTAGATGAGGTTTTAATTAATGTTATAATTTCTGATAATAGCTGGCCTTGAACTTCATTGAAGTATTTGGAGTTGATGCTGTATTCAAGTCTGGATCAAATAAACTAATAAAGAAAGTTTGATGTACTGATTTATTTATTTCTATTGCAAATAACTATTTACACATGCTATTTCAAGGTCAACCCATGTGACTATTCATTTTATCAAGCGATTTATAAAGTTTTATAATTATGCATATACCTGTTGACTCACTTCAATCCTGAACATTAACAAATTTTATCTCCATTTCTGGATGTGGCTAATTCCTATTGTCCCTACTGTGGACTAGTGACAATATATATTTTGCAAAAGCCAAAAATGTATGCATTCAGTATTGAAACATCAAGTACATTGTACATCGATCACAAATAAAGACACATTTACATATATTCCAATAAATTCAAATACTGTAAAACCTGTAAATAGTGAACACCTATTGAGCCACAAAAAGTGTTCACGATAGGTATTTTCTAACTAGAGGGGATTATATACAGGAGTCGATGTGAAATCTATCTAAAGTGGTGTGCACTAAAAGAGGTTTTACTGTAGTATATGAGATATAATAAAAAATGTAATACATATACCTGTAAACCATATTATATCTAATGAGCGCACAATTCCAATGAGTGCAAATGTGACTTTCTTATTGAATTTTGTCTCAATATTAACACATTGATTTTGATTAACAGAACTGATTGATATATTATAGTGAGTGATGATTTTCAACATGTTTAATGCAGATAAAAATAGTAGCTGTAGAGTATGAAAACCTAAGTGATCACAGCTAAAAGCATCATCATCGATATTTTTCTCAATATCATACCCTTGAGTTGGCAATAACACCACAGAAAATGCACCGATTCAGGTATGTCCACATAAACTAAAATGCCTACATAATGAATACTGCAATTACTGGTTAAATTTGACAAGAAAAAACAATTTCCACAACCCCATGATTAAATGTCAATGAAAGCCCTCAAAAACTAAAAAATACAAAACACCAGAACCGCTTAATGCTTCTTCAATTTTTGAATTTTTAGAAGAAATCCAATGTTTACCAACAACAGACGCCTTGTTATTCTCAGAGGCTCACTGTGCAAGAACCATTAATTGAATATCTTAAAGATCTTCCAAATGTAATGAGCTAACCAATCTCCAATTTTTATGTATGATAAATCCTGTATTGAAATAACAGTATTCATATTTATTCGCCAAGTAGAAATCTTATACTCTCCACCATTTTTATTGGGGCACCAAAATTCATCCATTTAAGATTTCCCTTATTAAATGACTATATGTACTTTACAAAGTTATTGCAAATGAATATCTTTACATGAAGTTAACAAGGCATTTCTACAAAAGATTGTTTGCACACATTCAGTGTAACCTTGTAACAAACACCGATTTCCATCTAAATAACACTCTGACAGAGACTATAAAAATGTATTAGCTATCAAGAGTGATATTTTTCACCAAATATATGTTTTCGTAAGTACTATAAATTCAAATACTTCTGATCAATTTACTTTATAAATTCTACTAACCACTATTTCATCAATATTTCGATAGCTTGCGCACAACCAAAGCAGCAAGACAAAAGTATTTTCCTGTATACTACCAGGCCATTGTCCCAATGAACATTAAGATGATTTTGAAAAGGTGTACTTTTTGTAACACATAACAAACATGTAGAGAGCGTCTTCATCTGTAAACACAAAGCTTCAAAATCATCCCTGTCATACAGTTTTGTTATTATACCTCAACATCAAGCGATAGTTCTTCTGTTATCATGAACTGACAACCCCCGAGAGCCTCTTGCTGATGTTCTGACTCATGTTGTTGTAGAACCTGATGGTTTCTGACTCCTGTTGTTGTAGAATCTGGGAATATTCTGACGCATGTTGTTGTAGAACCTGGGGATGCATTGCTCTGACTCATGTTGTAGAACCTGATGATGTTCTGACTCCGGTTGTTGTAGAACCTGATGATGTTCTGACGCATGTTGTTGTAGAACCTGGGGATGCATTGCTCTGACTCATGTTGTAGAACCTGGGGATGTTCTGACTCATGTTGTAACCTGGGGATGTTCTGACTCATGTTGTTGTAGAACCTGGTGATGGATATTCTGACTCATGTTGTTGTAGAACCTGATGATGTTCTGACTCATGTTGTTGTAGAACCTGATGATGTTTTGACTCCTGTTGTTGTAGACACTATTGATGTTCTGACTCATGTTGTTGTAGACCCTGATGATGTTCTGACTCCTGTTGTTGTAGACACTGATGATGTTCTGACTCATGTTGTTGTAGAACCTGATGATGTTTTGACTCCTGTTGTTGTAGAACCTGATGATGTTTTGACTCCTGTTGTTGTAGAACCTGATAATGTTCTGACGCATGTTGTTGTAGAACCTGATGATGTTTTTACTCATGTTGTTGTAGAACCTTGGGATGTTCTGACTCATGTTGTTGTAGAACCTGGTGATGGATGTTCTGAATCAGGTTGTTGTAGAACCTGGGGATGTTCTGACTCATGTTGTTGTAGAACCTGATGATGTTCTGACTCATGTTGTAGCACCTCGGGATGTTCTGAATCATGTTGTTGTAGAACCTGGGGATGTTCTGACTCATGTTGTAGAACCTGGGGATGTTCTGACTCATGTTGTAGAACCTACAATTCACAATTTACAACTAGAAATTGGCAACTCCAAGGCGTAGGGAATCCCAACGAACATATATAAATCATGAACTGTACAGTCACAATGTAATATTTACCATCGCACTCTTCCCTTCAATAAATAGATCATTGTAGTATCATATCTCTAAGTTATGGCCTATTCCAGCCATTTTTAATTTTTTGAGGCAAGAATCAGAAAAACAATGCCATAATTGTGATCTACTCTAAAATGCCTTCAGCTTTAGTATAATATAGCCATACTTCTAAGATGAAGAAAATTGAAAAGGTTTAATGGTGATAAATATGATCTTAAACAATGCTGAATGACTTAGTTTTTAACATTTGTTTCGATTAACATTTTTGGCTCACCCTGTGCCTCAATTGTTTCTTATTTCAAGTCATATAAAGAGTTAGTTT